GTTATAGGGGTTCGGTGCAAAGGACGCTCAGGAATGGAAGTGCAAATGTGCGAGGAGGACAGTCAGAGGGTGGCTACAGGAGGGTTAAAGAGGATTGCCGATCCATCCATGAAGGATGCTGTAGTGACTGAATGCGAGATAAAACCCCTGCTGATGCTCGGCCAGAACGATCCGAGTGCCAGAAAGAGCAACGAGAAGCGGCGAGCCTATTGAAAGCAGCGGAAGGTAAAACTCGAGGTTGGACCCGAAGAGATGCTGAGGATTTCTCCAAATCCATATAAATTGTCGTATTGTTGAGAACACGGCTTACATACCGATTCGGGATCGCTGTACGGTTTTGACGATATCGTTCGTCTTGTCATCTCGATGTCTTGGTCACGTGATAAATCTCTTTTTGATTTAAAAATTTTGCAAAATTTTTTCATTTTCAATGAAATTTTCAAACGTCGATTATCGCGCGACATAGTAGGTTTTATCAATTTCTTTTTAACGAAAATAAAAAAAATTGTTATCAGGTGGGATCTCTTTGGTTTTTGTACTGAGAACTGATATAAGAAAAGAAATAGAGAAAGCATCTTTAATCTCCCGGTCTATAAAGAGAGAATGAATGGCGCGAGAAGCGTTAAGGGAATGCGAGAGGATTTTGCACGATTTGGCAGCCGCTACCTTTCGAAGCCATTGGCAGAAAGAAAATCGGCTTAGCGCACCGAAAATATACCGATATTTATGAGGGTCGCGACATCGGGCCTAATCTTTTCGAGATAATAATTTATCGGCGGATACGGCTCCGCGCTCAGTATTTTGACTGCGATCCTTTACTATATTTTTTTTTCTTTTTTTTTCCCCTTATCCTCCTCATACTATCATTTACCTTTCATTTCTTCTTTGACGTTGGACCAATCCTTATTCATCTCTTTAATAAACGTACGCCAGTACTCTTATAGATAATATTTTCAAGATGCTCAATGGCGACTGATGGTAATAGCCGATGTCCGGTACGTATACGAGTCATTCATATGAATGATATACGTAGCGGAGGATTTTCTTTTCTATGGAAAATTACCAATGTTGATCGTACGAGTAATAGGATTCGAGGGAGCAGAAAGGAGATGAGTGTCTTTCGGTGGAAGGAATAAAGGAATAGGTACGAGTGTACTGGGTTTTACGAAGTACACGCGTCGAATAATAATGGCTGCCGAACTTCCCGGTGATACATCGGCTGGCATTTCATTATTTACGATATTTCCTTAATCCAAAAAAGTCACGGAGACGAGAAGGGAAGGTAGGTAGTACGAAAAAAAAAGTTTAAAAAATCGACCAGTGAAAAAGAAGTCAAATCTGTGAGATCTGCCTCACGTAGTAAATATGGCGGACTTCTACTTTTTTCGTCTTCATATTTTTCTCTATCTTCCTTCTTCTCCTTTTCTTCTTCTTCTTCCTTCCTCTCCTGCCGTTTCTTCGGAGACCCACAAAATTTACGAGAAATTTTAATACTCTATATTTTGCGAATATATACCTAATGCGCTAATACCAATATGTCTGTCTCTCTATATGTTATGTACATGAAAGTATCTCTATCTTATATTCTTTTCTTTTTTTATGTAGTATAGATATAGCTACACTCTGATTCTACCTTTTCCAAGAGCATCTTCTCTACCAGGACTCAGGGCGTCACTGCTGCTATATATTTTGCAAATCTTTTCCTATTTATCACCAGACACCCTTTCTGTCTCTCTCTCTCTCTCTCTCTCTCTCTCTCTCTCTCTCTCTCTCTCTCTCTGTCTCTCCCACACCCTTTACACGTATGCATACGTAAATGTATATCCACATGTACGCGTCCTGAGCGCTCGCGCGATTTTCCCCTCGCGTCAAACCGTTTTCATATTCTCTTACTATTTCCCTGAAACGAGCCGCTAGAGATTTCCAAAATTGAGCATACGTGCCAGGAAAGACACATGCCAATTTTAAGTTCCAACCTATAAAGAGTCACAGTCTGGTTCTGATACGGTATGCATCCACTACAACAATAAATAGTACGACCAAGCTATACGTCAATAGTATGACGATCTGTCTGCCGAATAAAAAAAAATATATGAAATAAATCAACAATAGAATAACGAAGGTGGTGAAGAAAAAATGTTGAAGAAAAAAAAATTTCCTTTCTCTAGGCGGCACAGTAGTAACATGGGAGGTGTGTAGCAGGTAGTCGTAGCTCGAAGGATCGCGTGTCGCAGAAGATAGCGGGCCGCCGTTTGTAGAATGTAAAATTCGTAATGCATCGCCGCAAAAGTGGAATAAGCCAAGACATACGGGAGGGCCAGGCGTACGGTTATGTGTCTCATTTATCAGCACAGATATTATTATGGCGCAGGGCTCCGCACGGCCGTGGCTAGCAATTTTACATACGTACAGGCATTTGTACCTTCGCGATATAATATAAGGACGTAATAATGCAAGACACACTCGTTCGCGCACACCCCGTACGCAGAACAGACTACCCTTATGTAACCAGTTACTATAGCATACCAGAACCTAGTAGGTATGCCCCATGAGAGAATCCCACGTCAAGACTTCGTTTCACAGGCAACTCCTGTAGAAGAATAAAAAATAAATATACAAACAAATGGGACCGAGCCACTCGAATCCATGATAAACGTCACAATCAGCAGGACTACATCTGAAAATGCGATCGTCCTTTTCGCCTTTATGGGTATCAATGAAAAAATGAAGCAACCCCATCAATAATGTAACCAGGTCACCAGGCAGTAGTTACTCGATTAAAATGAAAGAAGCATAGTCGTGCAGGGATGCTTTTTGGTAGAAACGGTATTCTTGCACGCTCTAGGTACTTTTTACATGGTAATATATATATATAGGTAAGTACATACGTATATGACGTTGATACGTGGATCTTCTCCGACCAACCCCTCTCCCACCTACCCCCGAGTTCGAAGGGCTCCCACCACGGTCATCAAACCTTAATACATTTACAGCTCACGAGAGCTGCTTCTGGCCTGAGTATCTGGTGGGGTATCTGCCGCCACATCTCTCTATAGAGTGTATCACGTTTGCGCATGTGAATATCACACGTATAAGTAGAAGAAAGATGGCCTGGGTCGTCCGTCCCCAGCGGCTAACCCCCTGATATATCGTTTACGTGTCTCGGCGTGCATACGTCGTTTGGGACACATGCCTTCCTTCACCCTCTATCCTACGTCCTTCCTATACCTTCAGCAGCCACCCCGACCCACCTTCGTCAACCTACACGTTCTCCTTCAGCGTCTCTTCGAGGACCTCCAGCATCTCCGTATCCCGTGCTCACGCGAACGCCATTTTTGTTTTACGAATTCACAGGGTGACGAGAAACGTTATGGTCCGCCAAACGTCATTCTGACGTATCCTGTCACGTTACCGAGTTTGAAAGACCTTTTTTTCATCTTAATTCTCTTATTTCAGCCGAGGCAGGCATCGATATGGGACTTTTATGGGGTCTGCTACTCGACGGGATAAATAGGACGCCGATGGTAGATCGGTGGGCATTATCACGAAGGATCTCTCCTGATCGCTAGAGATGATGCACTTCTGGTGTTATGGTTGTTTCCTCATGGTTACCATGATGCATCCTTTACCTTGGATGTAACAGTCATGGGCGTTATGGGATTCTGGTATCCAGAAAGGGGGAGACGGTACCCTGGCCCCGTGACGCTCAAGGCTTAGCCATAATCTGAAATATATTGGGGCCCAGTGTTTGTCCACATCTCCTTGACATTATAAATCGGCAAAGCGTAGGCATTCGTTCGTGGACATTAGTCAAAGGTGGGTAATGTCGTACGCGATAATGCCAACGATATCACCAACGTACTCATATGTGGAAACGTAACCGTGTGTGACTGGGCACGAGTACGGGGTCTTTTACGAGCTCAGAATCAAACGGACCTTCGCCAGTTTCACTCTCCGGATAAACCATAGGATAAAACTAGACGCCATTAATATGCCAAACTATTTTATAATTAATTATTATGATTAACGATTATCACGTGACAAAGTTAATTTCTTATT